TTTTAGACGAGTAGGAATTTATTATTGTTGGTTTCGACAGCCATCATCTAACAATTTAATGTCTGCACTCTGCACCATTCATCTACTGCATTTTTCTGTTTTTTTTTTCGTTTTAATTGTTTTTGTTGTTCACTTATTTGAATGGCTAGCAACCGTGTTAAAGTATTCCTGCACTATGGTGGTTCGTTTTCTGGGGGTTCATATCTTGGTGGAGTGGCAGAGCTGATGAGAATAAATTACGGCCGACAAATGTATTCTGAAGTAGTTTCTCGTGCTCAAGCATTATTAAAGGCCAATCATTGTAATTTTGACTACATATTCTGGGCAGTATTTGATGGAAGGGAACGAGCTGTGAAGATGAAAATCGAATCCAGTGACGATATCTTAGAGCTGATTGAAGAACAAGGAAATCTCAACATTTACCTGGAGTTGGAGAAGCGAGTAAATGTAGGGATTTCGGGGACGGTGCAACAAAGCTTCACGCAAATGATGGCGTCCCAAGGTGTGTTTCCCAGTTCTTTTGGTGTTGGTAGTTCTGCATTTTCCCACGAGGTCCCATATTCATATCAAGCAGGCCCTAGTTCATTTACACATACTGGATATCCTCGGGGCGCTGATGAAGGATCATCACGATCACGTCGAGTATGGCGTCAGCAGATGTACTATATATATATATATATATATATATATATATATATACACATTAAAATGCTTATAAATTAAAATGTGAACAGACCACAAATGATTTAATAAAATAGCTTGTCGTTTCGATGACGGTTCAGTTCTGAAAACCTTACATTTACTGTACATTAACAAATATTATAATAAAATATTATTTAATTCAAAAAAATATTTGATAAAATAATATACAAATATTCATAAATCATTAAACATGTTGTCATAAAAATATTGTTAATACTATTATTTGAAGTTTGGACTACATCACCTTCACGTAATAAAATATTTTCAATATAAAATTTATATTTAGGTTCAATAATCGACTTGGTGTGGTCGAACTGATACATAACTTAGTCACCTGGGACCAACCAAGTTGTGTTAAATTTTTTAACTATTTTAAGTATCACCTAAAAGTAATTCAATCAACCTGGGCAATACCCTAATTCAATCATCCGATTGATTTAAAGAAATTTTCTTATTTTCTTTAAATATATTTAATGTTATGTAATAAAAATATTTTATGATTCATATAATAAATGTCTACCAAATGATAGTATATTAAGACTATAAATTATATATCTAAAGATGTGATATGGGATATTATATAGCTGAGGAATAGACCGGTTTGCATCATCGGTCGAGCAACCTCGAAGTGGAGAAAACCGGGTTGGGAGAAGGATGATCGACCAAAAAGAAAGAAATCGAGAAGAATAGCAGAACTGGTCGAGGATCGACCAAAAAGGAGGAGATCGAGCAGAATAACAGAACTAGTCGAGGATCGACCAAAAGGGAGGAGATCGAGCAGAATAGCAGAACTGATCGAGGATCGACCAAAAGGGAGGAGATCGAGCACTCAACAAGTGAAGAGCAGTTTAGAGCGTGGCTTGAACGCGAGAAGGCGCGTGGGTGACGTTAGAAGATCCCAACGGCCTGCGCAGAAGAATAATCTCCCTCAGCTCAGAGGGACACGTGGGGAGAATATATTGGTGCAGAGTGATAGTGGTGAAAACCACCCCTGACATCTCTGACACACACACACACTATGTGTGTACGGACGGGCAGTACGGGCAGGACAGCTCACCAAAAGTCGGGCAGTTTTTAGGGCAGGTATCTCATTCCTATATATATGGGAGTGGGTCTTTTCTTGTGGTCGACGATTTACCCATTCTTTACTTTTGAAAATTGAACAAACACATACTGACTTAAGCAACGGAGGCTCTTCACCGGAAAATCCCTCCGGTGTGAGAGTTCTGTGCAGGAACGCGGCGTTCTACCGGCGAGGAAGAAGGAGGCAAGCTGATTTCAAGCCGGTCGGAGTGTTTTGCGTTACCATTTGGCGCCGTCTGTGGGGAATTTCGTTCGAAAAGTGGTGTGCTGAGATTTCCGAAGCTCGGTGGCTATGGCAGACGGAATTCCTAGGAGAGATTTACAAGCATCGTTCGACGATGCATGGACGATGACGAGGCCGTTTGGAGAAGGCCCTCTTCCGGGCTTCTTCGGACCTTTGCGTACACCTGTGACTCCGATGCCCATTCCCCAAGGTGTAGGAGTCACGCCGGTGCAACCAGAGGCTGACGTGGGCTCAAGCCGGGCCCAGGATGTTTAACATCAAAAATGATGACTATAAGGGCTAAGACATGGGTCATAACTTGCATGCATGAAGGTAAGGCTCGGGGGTTCAAAATAGCACATTTTCATGAACAAAATGACCATGGTAATGAACTCTAATCATGCTCAAACTTTTACACCGTCAATGTCATAATAAATGAGGGTGATTGAGCTATCAATTTGACTTAGGCATGCATGCAACTCAAATTTTATTTTTAAGGCCAATTATTCTTAAAATTCGGAACTCATGATTTTTAACGTGCATGGCTTGATTTTTCTACATGAAAAATCCTAAAATATCATAAATGGGCTGAGGGAAAAAGGTAGGTCGAGCTAACCTTCACCGAAAGTGGAAAAATGGTTGCTAGGGCTTGCTCGGGCTCACACGCGGCTTGGAAGGCTAGGACTTGGCTTGGGCGAAATTCGCTGAACCTTGGAGGATGAGAAGTCTTAGAATAATCCAAGGAACGATGTGAAGTGATTGAGACTCGGTGAAATATGGCTTGAACTTGCTGCAGCTCGGTAGACTCCCTTCTCGGCCTCGCGCGCGCTTGTGGAGTGGCTTGGCTTAGCTCTCAGTTTTTCCTTCAATCCCTTCAATATGTGCGAGTATTCTAAGTGTCAAGAGCTCAAAATGGCTGAAGAGTGAGCCTTAAATAGAGCAAAGGGGTGGAGGTTGCTAGGTATGGTCAAAGGAGACCATTTAAGTGGGAAAATGCACTCTCCATGCATGTGGTCTTGGGGCTGAGGTCTTGCACGTTTTTCTTGGGTGGAATGGCAGGTTTTTCAGAGCATCTTGGTCAAATGGAGCAGTTCTGGTCGCAGATTCAAGGCACTAGCACTATAGGGGACAAAGTCTTACACAAAGGTATTAAAATAATGGTTTGCCCACACTCCACTTTGAGCTAGTGCTAAGCTGACTTCCTTAATACTTTGTTAGGGCCATATTAGCTCAAAATAATCCTCATTAAGTCCCCTAAACACGCAAGTCTTGGGTCATGGAGGATTTGGGCCGGAAATTCCAGAAATGGGCTCAAGAAGATGGGCTGTCGCGCTGCCAGCGCTGGGCACTGGGCACGGACGCGGCACTGGGCCTGGGCGCGAGGGGCCTGCTGGCTTGGCGCGGGGCTGCGCGTGGGGTTTGACTTGGGATAAGGATATGGGCTGAAATGAGACTTGGTTGAGTTCCTCAACACTTAGAAAACTTTAGCAATGATACTAAGGCTTAGCTAAGGCCTTGGGCTCGGTGGACTCGCCCTTGGGCGCGAGATGGGCGCGAGTGGCTCGGGTGGGCTCGATTTGGCATTAGGGTTCGGTTATAAAATGTCCGAGACTTACTTCTTGATATTCGAAGACTTAGAAAATTAGTCTAAGTATAGAAATACCAAGACTTGGCTATGCTCGAGAATTAACTTGAAAAATAATCGGAACTAAACTAGGGTTCAAAGCCGATAATTTCTCGAGTCAATTAACTAGAATTTATCAACCCAAATTAATGGATTGATCTTGACTTATATTTAATATATAAAATTTCCAAGAATGATCTACCAATATTTGAGCATTTAGCATATAAAATATAACTCGAATAATTCTGAAAATTACGGATTTCACTTATAGTCGAGCAGTGAAACCGTTCTTAATATTATTTCTGATTTGGGGCGTTACACCCGCGACCGCCCTGTCTGCCAGCCATGTCATGGTTCGTGTGCTCGCCCTGAACAATTGTATGGAGAGCCAGTCAAATGTCTTCAATCCCCGCGGAAAGGTTTGCAATCTCACGACCCATCGTGTGGAATTGCCGACCGAACCCATGGCGGCTTCGTGCCTGTCGTCTACTGCATCATTTTTTTGCGGCGACATCGTGAATCGTCCTGGTCTCTGGATACCAACTGATGTAGCGTAGCGTACGAATGGAAAATAAGAGAAGAGATTTCTATTTTGAATACGTAAATTCTTTTCGATAATCAACTGTTCAAAGACAAAGTAGAATGAGTCTTTAAATAAGACTCTAAAAAAACCTAGATCTAATTTGTGCCACAAGACTTGATAAAAATTAACTAATAAATCTTATTGTGCCACTAATAAAGAAAATAATAAATAATTAACTCAATGCCGAGAGACGATCATGTTTCTCCAAAAATGCTAAGGCGATCTCGTCGTCATCAGAGGGTCGCGATTTTTCTGTTGCGTTTTCGTGGTGATCCTTTGGGGAAGGGGTTCTGGCCCATTTTGGTCTGAATTTAGTAAGCCATAGCGATATTGGAGTTTGTAGATCTGTGTCTTGGGTCGTGTTTCTGTCTTCTTGGGTTATCGCCTTCTGATGTTGGTCCGAAAGTTGGAGGCTCTTCGCTTTCCTGGCTAGTGGGGAGAGCCACATTCTAGTTTTTTGTGTTTTTCTTGTAGTTGTATTTGTGTTGGTGTTGTTGTTAGTGATGTTTTGTGTGTTGTGTTAGTTGTTTGTTTCTATTGTTTAGTAGCTTTATTCTTCTTTAGGCTACGTCATTGAGACGTGTAGTCCTGTCTTTGAATTCAATTGCATAGCTGCTTTAGCCGGCTGTCAGTATCGCTTTTCAAGATTGTAATTATTTGTTATCTATAAAATATGTTGTTTCAAAAAAAATAAAATAAAATAAATAAATAAAATAAAATAAAAAAAGAAATGTCCCACTTGAGGAATATCAATGCGGAAAAGACGCTCTCCTATCTATATTCCCCTTTTCCCTCCTTCCATTTTTCATTTGAATACTTCGAAGCTGGGAAAGAAAAAGGAAAAGAAGGAGAAACAATAATACACCTCGAAAAATTGCCCTAATTTCTAAGGGGAAAAAAATGGAAAGAGAAAAGGAAAACGAATCCAATAATTCAGCTGTTCAAGTAGGTGGAGTTCCCATCTATGGCGGAAAATTCACTCAGTATAACGTCCTCGGCAACCTCTTTGAAGTCCCTTCCAAGTATATACCTCCAATCAATCCCATTGGCCGTGGCGCCTATGGTCTCGTTTGGTAATTTTATCATTGATCTATTTTGAGATTTATATTTCTGTAATTCTCTCTTACAGAATTGAGTTTATGTGTGTATCTTATTTTTGAGATTTTTACGGCGGTATTTGTGTTGTCCGCAGCGCCGTCACCAATTTCGAGACAAAGGAAGAAGTGGCGATTAAGAGAATTGCCAATGCTTTTGACAACAGGATAGATGCGAAAAGGACCTTACGTGAAATTAAGCTTCTTACCCATATGGATCACGAAAATGTTGGTGAAGCTATAGATTCCGTTCTGATTTCTTTCTTTGTTTCTTTCTTTTTTTTTTTGGGTCAAGTTTTTCTGTCTTACTTTTTTCTTTTTAATCTTTAAGATTTTGGTTCTGGGTGATTTATTGAACGTGTTTATGGTGCACTTTGTATCAGGTTATTAAAATTAAGGATATTATACGCCCACCTGATAGAGCTGATTTTAGTGATGTCTACATCGCGTATGAGTTGATGGATACTGATTTGCACCAGATCATATGTTCGTCACAGGAACTTACTGAGGACCACTGCCAAGTAAGTTCGCGTTGATTGTTGGTGGTGTCTTTTGTTGATTATCATTAAACCGTTGTTCTTCGAATATATTTTTGTGTCAATTTAATTGCGTGCTGAAGTGTGCCAGCAGGTGTTATTAGTTTGATAGTCTTTCTGTAAGTCTCTCTGTGTTAAATGATTTTCAGAATTTTGGTACTGAGACATGATCTGCTGCACTAGTAAGAGAATAATGCTTTGACACCTAATATACAACTATTAATATTTGTAAATGATTGAAATGAGATTTAAAAGTCAAACTTACATTCTGTGAACCTTTTTACTCCTATGATACCTTTTGATAATTCATTGCAACTTTAGTGAAGATGATACGTAGCTGAATAGGGACATGCTTGTCTTGTATCCTTTATGTTTATATGAGAAGGAGATCTGATGAAATGAAATTATTTGGACTCCCTTAATCTTCTTCAAGTAACCAAGACCATTTCAGATGAAGTCTTTCTAATAATGCCTTATTTTCAGATGGACTCCCTTAATCTTCTTCAATTGTGAATAATATTTTAAATGGCTAATGAAAAGCTGTAGTTCTATTGTGATAATGACCTATAAGGTGGACTGTGTTGTGTCTTCATAAATGCAGCGAGATGTTTTTACTCCATGGTATTACCTGAACAACGTGTTTCCTCATATTGTGTGTGTGTGTGTGTGTGTGTGTTTTTTTTTTTTTTTTTTTTTTT